GATACTTTTGGTTCTCTAGTTTACAACAATGATAAACAATAAAATACTGTAATGAACCACTTATACAATGATAATGAAAACAACCATCTTTCAATATTTTAAGAATAGTGTGTCCTATTGAAAAAACATATTTTTACTTAGGTATATCTAGCAAACAGTGAAACCTTTCAGTTACAGCATTCTTTACCGGCCCTGTAGGTTAGGCCACCTCAATTATGTCTCCTTGTGACAGTAATAATGTTTAAAGTACAAAAACAAAGCAAAATCTGAATCACTGTATAATATACTACCATATGTAAATATGACTACATAGTGTTATTACTGTAATGATAAACAAACTGCTTTTTAAAATGTCATACGAAATGCGATATCTCTTGGAAATATAAATTAACGTCCTCAGATCATGATTATTATTTAATATTAACCACACTTGTAAGATATTGTGTGCCTGATTAGCTAAATGCTGGCATGGATGCATTTAAGGGATGCAGAGTGAAGCCTCGCCTATGATACGAGCACAAATTTCACCGAAGCAAAAAGTCACCAACGTGGGGGGGCCTGTACACATGGGGTCGCCACACTTGACATCGTGGTGCCTCGGAAGCCAATGGGCCGCAACTGAATTGTGTGCTCATCTTCCATTGTACGGCATAAAACGACACCGTCTTGACATTCTTTATAGCGGCTGAGCCCATCACTAAATTGTCTTGCGGTGGCATTAACAGCTGTGCTGATTCGTTTACCTTCTGTGACCACTGCGGTGAAATATATGTGGCTTCCTTTATTACGGAGCCGGAGCCCAGGAATGTGACGGTGGTTTTTTTCTTTATTTTGGTTTTCTACATCTGTAGTGGTTTTATAGTTTAAATTCTGAATGCCTATTTTCACATGAATGTTGAAGCTCAAATCATTCCAGTGTATTGTGTCATTAACAAGTTATTCCAGCACATGTTGTTTACTTCAGAAGGCTACTTTTGTGGTGTGATCTTATCTGCTGCCCCATACTTAATTGTTATAAGAACATGATTTCACAGCTGTGAATTCCTAATAAAAATGAAACATAATATTTTATTATTTCCCTTCTACGTGACTTTACCGAAAGAACCAAGAAGATGAATCCCTGCAGTCACGAAAGCTTTAAATCGAAAAATGTGATTTCCTAATCTACAATGATATATAGCACAAAGCATATATTTTGTTTCACATTGTTTCAAAGAAGAAATACAGTATGTGGAATACACGCATTCCTCTGAAGTTTTAAGATTTGCATTCGTTGGCCTTTTCGCTTGCAATAACATATTGGAAAGTTGGCACGAAATGGAAATGGCGGAAATGGTCAAAGCTCGGCCATCTGGAAGATGTCGTCGGATAGTTTTTTTTGCTTCCTGCTTGATTGAAACTGCAGTAGATTGCTAGTCGACCAGAAGCGATTTGAATGCGCACGCAAAGTGCTCTGCTGTATAACGAGGCACCATGAAGGCTAATGGGTTATGAAGTTCCTGGACCTTGTTTTTTTCACTGCAAAGGCGTTTGAAATATTCCACTTTAATTTCAGCAGTGGGAGACCTTAACAGGCAATCAGTCAACTAAATACCCAACTCTCAGTTTGCCTGCCTTTTCTTCTGCCTGTCACTTTGTCTCTAAGTGAAACTTAATTCGCTTTACCACGATTATTTGACACTTTGGTGGTGCCATCTTCATTGTCGCGCTTGATACAAATTCTGGAAGTCCCGTATTCTTCAGCAATTCCCTACCAGCAAGGAGTGCTCCTTTTACCAGCTCCAGAGGGATGATGGATTGAAATTACTGTGACTAAAATTTGACCTTGTGACCTCACAACGATGAGCCTTTTCCTTCCCAACTGAGTTTATCCTGGCCATTATTATGATGTGCAGCGATAACACACAGTGGAGATGGGCAAAATGGTTCAAAGGCGTGGACAAACAAAAAGTAAAGGCTTTCTTTTTTAAATGAGAAATGCAGAAATGTGGAGAGGGACCTGAAGCTGGCTGCATGGCTTGGCATTATTGCGAGAAATAAGTGGGCACCTCAGCTTTCCGAGAAGGTGAAGCAACACATTCGAGAAGCAATTTTACGCGTCGTAGCGCATGAGGGCTTGACAGAAAACAATCCCTGCCAGGCAGATGCACCGTGTCGTTCTCATTCCTATCACCCGTCTATTTCCCACGAGACTTCGAATGCTTCAAAAGCTCTGATGGAGCATTGCAGTCTGAGTTGTTGCAGCAGCCATGAAGCTTATTCAAAACATCTTGTAGTACATGTTTACTTCTGAAAACAGACATTAAATCTTAGCAAAAAACATTAAAAAAAAATTATTATAAAAAAATGTACGTTCAATAAAAACATACATTTTTGTACGTGTATTGATTGGTTTTTGTAAACACATTCTTGGCACTTTGTCTCTGAGGCTGGCCTAGGCCAAACTCCATGTCAAATGGGTCTAAAATAAATGTTTGGTGTCGTGTGGCACAACACCAGCACTGGGGAAACAAAGGTGTGATGCCTGTATGATGCGGGTGACATCACATCCTTGTTTGGGATGTTCACTACCAGCACTATCTCCTACAGTTATTTTTCTTCAGCTGTCTATGCATGTGTAAAGATAAGCGAAAATTACATATTGACTGATTACAGCGAAAAGAATTATGAAATGTCAATTTGATGTTTTTATTATCAACAAAAATGTACTTGCCCTTCAGTAATCCCCTTTTTCTAATAAAGTTGACCAGTATTTCAACCATTGCAAAGACATTACAAAAGCATCACTTTTTGTTGACACCACACTTTGGAGCTCTTTGCCCCACAAATAGTGCATTTTTGGCTGCCTGGTAGACTTTAATTTGTCTGCAATGAGCACCATTATCCAAAGTTCAAAGCCATAGCTTGTGTCATTCCTGAGAAGCCTTGCGAAAGTGGGCGAAGTCGTGTAATATGAAGGGAAATTTAAGCGAAATGAGGTTACGGTGCAGCAACAACTTACGCAATGCCAATAAAATGTGTACATGGGTGGGACTGGAAATTCAAGAATCCCTCAACTGCACTGGCAGACTCACCTAATTGATTGTACCGATCTCTTCCACTTTGTTTCATGTGGGTCTCACTCTGCCCGTTGCCTACCTATGCTGTTGTTGCGCAAAGTATCCAGCGGCAAGGCCGGATTAGGCCGATGCCTGTTTAAGCTGCTGCTGCTGCACACGTGCTATTGATCAGAGCATTTCAGCTCATGGATGCGTTTTTATAGCCGCTCAAAGGCAAACATACTGGCATGCAAAAATAACTGCTCTTGAAAAGGTTTATAGATCTGTAATTAATGTGCACTGTAATACGTCACTACTGCTATTGGTTTCTGTTATTAGTTACGAGCTAAAATGTACGTGTAATCTTGATTGTATTTAATAGTACAGAAATACCAACATTTGGCTAATCTTTTCATTAATATTAATGCGTATGTGAACAACATTTAATTGTTCGATTATTTTTAAATGTTTTGGAGAATATTTGTTATTTCTCTTCTGCTTTTTATTTATTATTCATTTACAATTCGTACAAATTGTGCCCCAGGCATCATGACTTAACGTAAATAATCCTTTAGGACATATCACAGTGCATTTTGCCCCATGTGTCAGAGAAAGACTGCTGTGAAGATGCTTACATCTGAAAAATCCTTCAAATGACTTTGTTCATGATAAGCACATCAGGTGTCACACTTTTCCGTACACTGCTATGCGCTTATTTGCCTCATGACAGTCAATCGAATGGTTTTAGTCAGCCAAGCGATATAAAATTGTTACTTTTATTTGTTTAACGAGGTGAGAACTCACGAGGCCTAGGATAGTCTGATTTGCAAGAGTTAGCTGTGTTACCAAAATAAAAAAAAATGCTATGCTGCAATGCAGGTACAATGCCATGAACTTTCAAGATAGGATTTGTCACGGTATATGCATGTATTTTTGTTGTTGTAAAAGTAGGTCTAAGGATTTTTCATTATCTGCATAATCTCCACATCTAGAGCAGAGCCATGTGTCACAAGGATGGGCCATACATCGTGAGTTGAAAGTTAAATGCAGGCTCCGTGGGTTTTTGTTTGGCGAGAGATTTTTTATGACAATACCAAGACATAATTTTAGTTTGTGCTCTTCATACCTTGTCTGTGAATGAATTCCTTTAATTTACTCGGACATAAGTTTTCGGAGCGGGAAAATGATATATTCGGTGCTAGTCTTGAGACCATAACTTGACTTACAATTGAGAAGTTGGTCTAATTGAGTGGTCACGGAGGAATTGAGGTCAGATCTCAGTAGTGCTGGCACCTTGTTTGGAAATGACTGTTAACCCCCAATCTGCATGTCCTCTTAATTTAAACGCTTTAGGCCAATGTATGCACTGTATAGTCGAGTGAAATGTCATTAAAACATTCCTGCTTTGGGCATTTTTTCATAACTAGCAATGACATTTTAAAATCCCCCCCTCCATTGCAGTGTTCCCCAGTGTAATGTTTTCCATTACATTGGGAACCACTGCAATGGAAAATGTGTTTTAATGTTTGCCTCGCACTGACTGTGTTATCTGCCTTGCCCCCCTCATAGTTTTGGTGTCACCCCCCCCCCCCCCCCCCCCCCCACTTTAAACAAGATCTCACCATTGGGCTGTAGGCACTTCATCTTGTCCAAGTGTTACCGCTTGCCTCGTGGGCGTAACCAGCCTGTTCTCTCGTTACGGTCACGGGTGGGATAGAGACAGGGCCTTGTCCACATGTAACCTTGTTGTATATGCCTGCGTCGTGTCCAACACACCCGGGCAGCCGTAAAAGAGGGGGGCTGTCTGTGTGCAAGCCCTGCAGGGCGTGCGTTCACCTTTTATTGAATGATATTGAATTGTGTCTGTTGGCTCTCTCTCTCTCGCTTATCCCCCCTTTGCCCTCCACTCCCCGCCCACTGCCTTCACCTTTTCCTTCTCGCTCTGTTTTTCTCCCCCTATAGGTCAGAAGCCGAATGAGATGAAGTGTCAGGTCAATCACTACCACTGCCTTGGAACCGAGCTGTGCATTCACATGAGCAAGCTATGCGACGGGAATAATGACTGTCCGGATGGCTACGACGAAGGAACGCACTGCCGAGGTTAGTTGGGGAATGTCGGGTTGGCGCTTGTTATATATCGTACGACTGAGCATGTGGTGGAAGGCGGATAAAGGAGCCAATGAGTCTGGTAAGGACAAAATAAACGAAAGAATAAGAAAATGTGCATGCCATGTCAGAATGACATTTTCCGATTCTTTGATGCGTCAAATTTGTTCCGGATTCCTCAATCTATTTATAGTTTCTCAATAGAGCCGCATTTAAGGATATATTTAAATAATGTTAGGACATGTCTGATGATATCAAGGTGTCTTTCAGTGCATGTGAGATTATCTTTGACTTTGCACTGCAGCTTGTTTTATTTTTATTATTTTATTATTTCCCTTCTACGTGACTTTACCGAAAGAACCAAGAAGATTGCCACAGACAGTTTGACCTATCGAAGCACAGGGTGGTTGTGTAAGCAACGAAGCTCCAAGTATGACGTCAACCGAACATTTAGGCCATGCCGTCCTGATTCATGATTTAAGTAAAGCACTTTTTAATAACGTAATGGGAAATCAGCTGCACTGGTTACCGTTGCCAGCTTAAATATTTATTGACAAAATCAGGACGCATTTTTTGTAAATGTTTTATGCATGTGAGCTACCAACAAGTTAAGTGCAAGTGACAAGTAGACGCTCGTTAACTTAGCGAATGTTGACCGATCGGTTTTAACAACCAAGGCGAAACATTAGGCTTGCACCCCCCATGTCCCCTCCCACACTCTCATATAGTTAGTTATTGGCCAGGGGGATGTCAGGAAGCAATCTTAAAACAAATCGTTTGTTTTAAATAAAAGTCAATTTAGGTTCAGATTAGACTATTCGATGTTGACATCTATTGGTTTTGTAACCCCACGCTGCCCTGTCCCTCTTGTTTTTTTTTAACACAACCATGGCTCGCAAGTTGAACGTAACAAATGACATAATGGCAAATGTCTGAAGCTTCTGTGTTAGCCACATTATGTAATGACTGGTTCAAGGGTTGACCAAGGTAAAAAAAAAAACGCGTGTGTGTTTTGCTACAACCGTGCCCTGGGGGGACAGGGTGCTGCTGAGTTCACATGGATCAGTTTGATCTGGGTTGACTGAACTCACGTGGATCAGTTTGATCTGAGATGACTGAGCTCACTTGGATCAGTTTGATCTGAGATGACTGAGCTCACTTGAATCAGTTTCATCTCCAGGATGACTGAGCTCACTTGGATCAGTTTGATCTGGGATGACTGAGCTCACTTGGATCAGTTTGATCTGGGATGGCTGAACTCACTTGGATCAGTTTGATCTGAGATGACTGAACTCACTTGGATCAGTTTGATCTGGGATGACTGAACTGACTTGGATCAGTTTGATCTGGGATGGCTGAGCTCACTTGGATCAGTTTGATCTGGGATGGCTGAACTCACTTGGGTCAGTTTGATCTGGGATGACTGAGCTCACTTGGATCAGTTTGATCTGAGATGGCTGAACTCACTTGGATCAGTTTGATCTGAGATGGCTGAGCTCACGTGGATCAGTTTGATCTGGAATGACTGAACTCACTTGGATCAGTTTGATCTGGGATGGCTGAGCTCACGTGGATCAGTTTGATCTGGGATGACTGAGCTCACGTGGATCAGTTTGATCTGGGATGGCTGAACTCACTTGGATCAGTTTGATCTGGGATGACTGAACTCACTTGGATCAGTTTGATCTGGGATGACTGAACTCACTTGGATCAGTTTGATCTGAGATGGCTGAGCTCACTTGGATCAGTTTGATCTGGGATGACTGAGCTCACTTGGATCAGTTTGATCTGGGATGACTGAACTCACTTGGATCAGTTTGATCTGGGATGGCTGAGCTCACTTGGATCAGTTTGATCTGGGATGGCTGAACTCACTTGGATCAGTTTGATCTGAGATGACTGAGCTCACTTGGATCAGTTTGATCTGGGATGACTGAGCTCACTTGGATCAGTTTGATCTGGGATGACTGAACTCACTTGGATCAGTTTGATCTGGGATGGCTGAGCTCACTTGGATCAGTTTGATCTGGGATGGCTGAACTCACTTGGATCAGTTTGATCTGAGATGACTGAGCTCACTTGGATCAGTTTGATTTGGGATGGCTGAGCTCACGTGGATCAGTTTGATCTGGGATGACTGAACTCACTTGGATCAGTTTGATCTGGGATGACTGAGCTCACGTGGATCAGTTTGATCTGGGATGGCTGAACTCACGTGGATCAGTTTGATCTGGGATGGCTGAGCTCACTTGGATCAGTTTGATCTGGGATGATTGAACTCACTTGGATCAGTTTGATCTGGGATGGCTGAGCTCAAGGGATCAGTTTGATCTGGGATGGCTGAACTCACTTGGATCAGTTTGATCTGAGATGACTGAGCTCACTTGGATTAGTTTGATCTGGGATGACTGAACTCACGTGGATCAGTTTGATCTGGGATGGCTGAACTCACTTGGATCGGTTTGATCTGAGATGACTGAACTCACGTGGATCAGTTTGATCTGGGATGACTGAGCTCACTTGGATCAGTTTGATCTGAGATGACTGAACTCACGTGGATCAGTTTGATCTGGGATGACTGAGCTCACTTGGATCAGTTTGATCTGAGATGACTGAACTCACGTGGATCAGTTTGATCTGGGATGACTGAGCTCACTTGGATCAGTTTGATCTGGGATGGCTGAGCTCACTTGGATCAGTTTGATCTGGGATGGCTGAACTCACGTGGATCAGTTTGATCTGGGTTGATTGAAATCACATGGATCAGTTTGATCTGGGATGGCTGAACTCACTTGGATCAATTTGATCTGGTATGACTGAGCTTACATTGGAACAATTCGGTCTGGGATGACTGCAGCAAGAATGTGGGCTTCAAATTGTATTCGGCCCTCTTCGAGAACCAAGCCACCACTGTTCCCAGTGGTCATGGAAACATGGCACAATATGCCACGGCTAGTCAGGAATTATATTTTGTGTATAGGGCTCTTTTTTGCGAGCCATTAATAAGGCTTTGCACTTGGATTATCGTGACGTGTAGTGGTTCTGCCATCGTGTCATTGTTAGCACCCTGGACTTGCAATCCAGAACTCACTGTTTCATCTCCCAGAGTGACGGTTGAAAGTTTCTCAAGTCGCCCATTTCTGTCTTCCCAGTAGCATAAATGGCCGCAGCACACTTAGTCGATCGGCGTGGCCGTGTGCTGTGGGGTAAAAGTGTTGGTACTGTCATGTCTTCCAATGCATCTGGACAGCGTAGAAGAGTAGACCAAATACCCGAGGGAGTCTCTTCTGCCAGCAGTGGTGTAAGCAAGCCATTGCAGAGGTGCACATTTACATTTTAAATCATGCATTACACATATAACACTTGTAGTATCAGTGTCTCTTGTACATCATCATCATCACTATCATCATATCACACGTTATGCCTTCACTTACAAATGATTTGGTTATGAGTGAAGGCTTAGGTTCAGTTTTAAATTAGTTTTTATTTATTTTTGCTTCAGAATTTGGCCTGGTTATTATACTGTCTATTAACTCCTATATTCACTTGGCTTGAGTCCTTTCTTTTCACCTCATGAAAAATGTTCTTCAGAGCAGTTGATTAATTACTGGTTCCTCCTATGAAATAGCATCCATTGCATGGGAAGAGTTCAGTAGCCAAGCTTATTTTAATTAGCATTTGCTGATTTTTAATGTAAGAGAGTGTTTAACATTTCAAGTGTCTTATCGTGTATTTTGAAGCCATGGGTGAAATATGTAAAATAAATGGAAGCTGACCATTATTTGCACCGCTGGAGGACGAAGGTTTTTCCATATTGGAACCTTTACTTTATTGTGTCGATTTAATACAAATTAATACGACACATTCTCATGAATTTACTAGCTGAAACTTGCTTTGGATTGTCCTATCATTTTCATTTATTTCCTTTGCTCTGTTTATATCAGTAATGTTTTCCAACATTGGTCCCTGTTCAATCTTCATTTGAAGCTTTCGTGACAGCAGGAATCCATACTCTTTGGTTCTTTCGGTAAAGTCACGTAGGTAGAAATAAAATAAATCACGACGTTTCGAACGCAACACGAGCGCCCGTCTTCAGGTGAAAATCGCGACAGCTGCGATGCCTGCTGCGAGCAGCACGATGTCTGCTTCAAGGGAGTAGACATCAAGGGAGCAGACATCAAGGGAGCAGACATCGTGCTACTCGCAGCAAACATTGCAGCTGTCGCGATTTTCACCTGAAGACGGGCCACTTGTGATGCGTTCGAAACGTCGTGATTTATTTGATTTTATTTCCACCTACGTGACTTTACCGAAAGAACCAAAGAGTATTGGTCCCTGTTATATGCCATACCAGCAGTGTTTTTTTTTAATGGACAATATGATGTCTGAAATTACTTTCAGTCTTGACTTGTCCAATCCATATCTGTTTGATCTTGTCTCATGTTCGTCTACATTCACATCTTATGCCCAAATTTTGTTCGAATAGTTTTAACAATTTACAGCATATTATTTATCAGTCTCTAATATTGAAATCCTTTAGTCACGCATCTCTGAAGTGGGACATTCACCATGAATAAGCTGATTTAACCACCAAATCTGGTTCGACATACGGTACTATGAATCAATTTCCTATCATTTGTAGTCCAAAATGTCCACTGAACCAGTGGACAAGAAATGTCACCTTGTCTGTGTTCAGCAATAACTACTGACCAGTATCACACCTCCGATTAGCATCGTTGGCTACGTATGGTGCCAAAGAAGTTCAACATGCATACATTAGTACTGCATTATGGAAACTGCCCGTGTTCTATAAGATGTATTCTTATTATGTTGATAATTGTCTTCCAAAATCTAGCTTCCCCACAGTCTGACATGGCAATTATTTTATGAATTGCTGTTTTGACACTGATTTGGCAGTTAAGTTGAAGAACAAACTCGAAAAAGAACTAAATAATGATCTTGACTTAAGGCTTTACTGACTGCAGGAATTCATA